GAGGAGCATCTCCCAGGAGCACACTGGTTACAATGACCTTACTAGTGCTCGGCATGTATACAGAAGGGGTTGGCTTGGACCCTACCGGCTTTCCTGCCAGCCAAAGAAAGAGAAGGGGCCCTTTGCTGACTACCGAAAAGGTTTTGCCAGGGAATGTGGGACCCACGTGGACAAAAGCCACACGGGATGGGGTGAGGAAGAAAACGGGTGAGAGAGGGGGCTAGCATTTTCCCCTGGGAAGGGCTTCCAGGTGGCTGGCAGAAGCAACAAGGAGTAAGGAAATGCTCACAGCAGCAGATGCTTAGAAACCACAGCCTGCACCGCCTGGCAGTTCAGGGAGCCCACAGTGTCTGCTCTGGTCCGCCAGGCCAAATTCTACTTTGCTTGATGCTCAAGAAGCATGCCAAAGCACGAGCCTACAGTCGGGGCCAGTGTTCCCGCTAAGCCAAGTCAGTGTGAGCTAGCTCACAGTTTTTTAGCCTACGGCTCACAGATTTTTGTCTTAGCTCGGGAAGGAGGGCTCCAGAGCAAACTAACCGATGCAGCAGCCAAACTGCTCGCTCACAGCTTCAATGCCAGAGTAGCTCACAAAGTAGAACTTTTGCTCACAAGACTCCACAGCTTAGAGGGAGCCTTGGTCAGAACTGCGTTCTACGCTGATGCTGCTTGGAGAAGCTTCCAGAAGGCAGCCCCGCACCAGATCCTTGACCTTCTGCCATTAAGACCTACAGAATGTCCCATGGTGACCTGAGCTAATTTAACAGTTTTAAAAAACACCTATCCCACACAACAAGCCCCTCAGACTCTTGAACAGTTTTTATTTCATGTTTTCTGCCTATGTCAGCAGACTGTGCAGCAGCATTTCAACAGCAGACACACAGACACAGCAAAAAAAATAAATAAACCCCAAGTGGTACAATAGGCCTGTGACAACTCCATGCAAATCTCAACTGCCCGCAAGTTTCACCCCATGCATACATTTTTTAAAATCCCGAACGCACGCAAACTTTGGCTGCAGTGCCACAGACACACTTGCCTATCAGAGAGATTACAAAGTAAGATGGTCAGACATATCACATATCACAACCAGTGTTCCCTCTAAGCTGAGTTAGTGTGAGCTAGCTCACAGTTTCTTAGCCTCTGACTCACACACTGTTGTCTTCGCTCAGGAAGGACGGCTCCAGAGCCAACTAATCTATGCATCAGCCAAATCGCTCGCTCACAACTTTAATGCCAGTATAGCTCACAAAGTAGAATTTTTGCTCACAACGACCCCACAGCTTAGAGGGAACATTGAGATTCACAACACAACAGAGAAAGGTCAATGCCAACCGAGGAGGAACACAAACCTTTAGTGCTTCCATGCCAGCCTGAATCACTGGACCGAACACGGTTTCTGTTTCCCTGGTATCAGCAAACATTTCAGGGATCTGGTCCAGCAAGCTGCAAATCAAAAGCATGGCAATCAAAAGGCAAACTCAAAGTCGGCAAACAAAGAACAGATACTAAGAAAAGCGCCCTGCTGGATCAGACCGCCGAGGGTCCATTCAATCCAGCATCCTCTCTCGCCAGTTTGGTGTAGTGGTTAAGTGCGCGGACTCTAATCTGGGAGAAACGGGTTTGATTCCCCACTCCTCCACTTGCAGCTGCTGGTGTGACCTTGGGTCAGTCACAAGCTCTGGCACAGCTGTCCTTGAAAAAGAGCAGTTCCTGTCAAGAGTTCTCTCAGCCCCACCCACCTCACAGGGTGTCTGTTGTGGGGAGGGGGAGGGAAAGGAGTTTGTGAGCCGCTCTGAGACTCCAAGTGAAGGGCGGGGAATAAATCCAATCCCCCCCTCCTCCTCCTTGCTGTCCCAAAGAGCCAACAAAGGGAATGGAGGCTGAGGCTTTCCCTTGACGCTGACTCCCCCCCCCCGCCCAGCATT